ATATTTTTAAGTAAAGTGTAGTTGGCTAAATGTAAAGTGAGTCAATCTTAAAACTTTGTAATTGTGTAGGTGCTCACCAACTTCTGATTATTTTTTAAAGGCATCTGCTTGGAGCTGTATGGTTGTGAACTTCTATCATAAATACATACTTAATTTATCACAGTCATACGATTTGTCAATGACAAGGTGTAAGATGACTTGAAAAAATAGCGGTTAACTCTCAAAGATCAGTCTGTTAGTCGCCAGCTGGCAAACGTTCATATGCTTTAATTTTCAGTATAAGGTCTTTTATAACAGTCAAGTGCAAGTTTCAAGAACATCTTTGTTGTCTTTTCCCACCATCTCTTGCTGAACACTAGAAAAGTACAAGCTGTGGCTTTTTTGATTGGAGGCTTCCAGGCATGCTCTTACCCACTTATATTCACCTTATAACAAAAGTTAGAGCTCACTGGCCAAAAAGCAGTAACCGCAGTCAACAATGAGCAATATGGAGCCTGTGGCCAGCCAGCCAATGACCCATTGTAGGCATAAAAACTACAGCCACAACATGCAAGCCAAAACACCAGTAGCCAGTATGAGAACAAAACTTTCAAACAAACAAATCTTTGCTTAAACAGAGCTTCACTTCAACATGTCAGTTCTGCCAGCTCCAAGCATATAATTAATGGACCAAGGACATTCTGCACAGGAGCAGCTTGTGGTCAGAGACTAACAAGAAAGCAAAACAGCAGTCAGACAGCCATCTTGGATTATGCAGGGACCCTATTTCAATGTCTTGCAATTGTCTGCAAAGAGAAAAACAGCAAATACAGTAAAGTGGGTAAGATACATGCTCTCCACCATTCCGCGGGTTCAAAAGTAATCTCATAACCAGAACAGGTATCCACTCTTGGAAGCTTTATAAGGATATTAATTTGTGTTGTTACATGTTGAAAAGACTGAAAGGCACATCTAATCAAACTGCTATTTCTTTACAAAAGAGTTTGGATCTTTACTGAACAGTAACTGACACAGCATGCTTAAAGGTGCTCAGTCTTTTGATCAAGGCAGCTCACAACCATTATGTCAGGGTCACACATTCCCACAGGCTGCCTCCCTCCCTTCTCTCAGATCCAGTGAATGCTGGCTTGTTTGTTCAGACACAGTGCGAATCAAAGCGCAGCTTTAACACACACCCACCAGTCAAGTGCCTGACATTTCTAGGTGATGGCATTCTTCAGCACAAGCCCAAGACTGTCAGCATCTCCCAGAAGACTACAATTATTATTTTTTTTTTATTCACCAGCTTGTTTAACCAGGAAAGCATACAAGGGGCTCCTATGCAACATCATCCTGGAACTTCAAGAATCAATTGAGCAACTGATATCATACAGAAAACAGCTGCCAAGCTCCAATATCATGTGACTCACATTAAAAAAAGAGCATGCAGATAATCAGATAGTTGCTCTGACATCCCTTCCCCTAGTTTGTCTAAAAACTGCAATTGCCTTCAGGCAAAACGTGCAAATGCTTCACAGAAAGTATAAAGTAACAGTTTGAATTACCAAACTGTTTCACATGCTGTGGAGAAACAAACAGCCATAGAATTCTTGATGTGCTTTGCCTCTGAAAACAAATAAGGCTTATATGGGCAAGCTTGAAATGGCCATGTTTAAATGAAGTTCTTTTCTTACTGGTTCAAATACAAATTTAAAAAGACCTTCTTCATGAACTACATGAGAATAAAAGTGAATGGGGGCCTTTCATATAAAGTCTGAGTTCTTCTAGCTATAGTAATATTTAGGGAATTCTACCACACAGAGCCCATGGTACTTTACAGATACGATTACAGTTGTAAAGTCACTGCACACAGCCTTCCCTTTTCCTGCGGCCCCAAAGCAACATACCTCACACTCCTGTTATTGAAAACATTCACCACAGGCGTTTGTTGTGCTTTACTGCCTCTTTCCAAAGGTGTTATAATTGGCATTGGAGACTGTATAACCCGAGTGTGAAACACTCTTATTTGTAATTACAATGTTTTCCTCTTTTTCGTAACTTATCCTTTGAGATTTCCAGAAACAACTGAAACTACTTCCCCTAGATCAGCCTTAAACTGCAATTTATACAGAAACTGTTACAGTGGCAATACAATTAAAGTCTTTTATTGTTCAGCTTTTCCACATTGTATATTCACCCACATTTCTAACACAGAGATAAGAATAGCATTGTTAATGCACATCACAAAACTGAAGATGAGCTGAACCATGTCGTGTTCAAGAGATGAAAGGCAGCTCAACTGCAGCAAAATCCACTCACAGATTCACAAAATTTGAATGAAAAACAAGGCGAGACAGCAAGTTTCTGCAAAGCATTTCACTATAAAGGAAAAAAAAAATCAGACTTGCTTGTATGAATTAAATATCATAACAATACAGGAATTTGTTGATTACAGAAAAGGCAAAAATCCAGCTAATGTTTTGGAGGTGGAATTATCCAGAGATGCCCACATGTCTGAACAAGCACAATTTCCTACTCAAAGACTGCTGAGTGCCAGCTTCTAGGCTTTACGTATTGATGACCCAACACTTCTAACAACAAGATTACACAGTCCGCCAAACCTTTTAAGCAAACTAAACTCAGCATATAAAAACCAAGACACTACCCAAAATGTAGGAAGAGGACACTGTGGACCGCATCTCAAAACATACGCTTAACTTAGCACTTCAGCATCAAGCAACCAGACACCATAGGTGGGACATCATACCCTAAACTGCTCAACTCTGATTTGAAATAGATTTGCACCTATATAGATATTGCCCCAGTAAAATGAAGCATTAGAAAAAATTATCTCAGAAATGCTCAAATTTGTCTCAGGCACTTGTAATTTTTTAGATATCATACTATATGGGAAAAAGAACTATGTGTGGTGTTGCTATTGGAAGAAAACAGTATAAAAGCATTTTGGGCACAATAATTATTGGGAGGCTTGTCTGTGGAGATATTGATCACTACAGTAGCTTTTTATTTTTTACCACACCAAATAATTCATTAACACAGTTTAACCTGTAAAACGGCTGTTTCCTAACTGTAGTATTACCTCTGCATTACTTTAGGTAGTATATTAAATTAAAAAAAATAATTCTTGACACGAAATCACACCACCAGTCTTACTAAGACACACCCATCTTACTGATATAGTAAGATCGTGCTTCTAACCTACAGCAGAGACTCATTACATAGTTTTTGATGGAAAAACAACCCATTTCTGAGAAATCAAACAAAAGATTATCATATTGTATAAAAAACATTAACAAACCTTTCATCACAGCTACGATTCATATCCGAATCTTGAATTTTAAAAAACACCCTGTTTAAAATGTGGCTCATTTAATGCAGATGGCTTTCAAATAATTTGATGAAAATCATGAAAAATTAGATTAAAGCATACATTGGATGAATGGGACCGTTTTGTTTCTATTCTGGCAGTAATCGCTGCTTTTCCGATACAGTAGGTGCTTTTCTACTATAAATCTAGGGTAAACAATGCCTAGAAATATACACAGCTGTTGATTTAAAAGACATTATTCCTATATACTGTACTCAAAAACTGCTTCACTGGTGCACTAATCTTTTGCTAACCGTTCTTTTTACCATCATTAATCAGAACATCAAAGAGGACAACCTGCTCCATGTCTATCTGGCAACTAATGATAAAAAGCTCCTAAAATTAAGTCTTTAATTGAAGTGTTACTTCAGACCTGCGACTTTCCTGTTCACAACAAATACACAAGTTCATCCTTGTGTAGCACAAAAACTAGGATTGTGCAGTGTGGAGGTCTTCTAAAACTGCTTTATGATAACCGATTGAGATTCACAGAAAAACAATTGATTTTTTTCCACAATCAGAATTATTTTTAATCTCTCTGGTTTCACCCAGAAGCAAGTACAAGCATGCTCTGTAACCAGGTTTGCTTCAACGGTATAAAATGCACAAAAAGCTCACTTTTTTTCGCAATAAAGTCCTGGCTATAACTTGAAACCCTGCAGCTCTTTTGGAATAAGCAACGAAACAAGGAACACCTGTTGCTCACTTCACGATCAGCCTCAACCTTTATCCACATATTCAAGCGAAGTCAGAACGCAAGCAGATGGCACACAGTTTCGCTGCGTCTCTTCTTAATTTCCGACACTTTAACTTATGATTATTGAAAACAGCAAACGGGGAAGGACAACATCAATTTCATTTGCCCTTTGGAAAACCCCCTCTGCCAGATGGTCTGGCAGGTATAAAATAAAACTTGCACATGCAGGCGCCAGCTGTCGGCCCTCCTGATCATAAGAAAACCCGATGAGGTTTTTAAGCAAAATGCATCTTTAAAAAACTGTCCCAGGACCCTACGCTCAGGTATTCCCACCTGCGTCACCGCCTTGATTGCTCTCTTCCAACACAACACCGCCTGTTCACATCAGCTGTTGGCAACCGCTGGCTGACGCGTGGAAGCGACCAGCAAAACAGCCCAGGAACAAGCGCTCTGACGATGGCGGGGCCGATCAATAATTGAACAGACTTTTTTTTTTTTGTTTTTGGCCATGCGTGTGATTTGCGGACTAACCCAAGAGGCACACGGAAGACGGACAGGAGGCGGCTGTCAATTTCAAGAACGCAGCCAAGCGGTGTCCAGCTCACAACATCCTCTGATGTCATCGAGGAATACCACACCGCGAATCTTCCTTTGGACAAAAAAACAACAGCACTATAACAAAATGACTACTAAATCCCTGCCAATATCCCGATACCGGCAGCTGGCCGTAGCTACATCCATCCTGTTAGCTACATGCCATCCAGTGCACTCGGGGCCTTCACTAGACTGACACACGGCGGGCAGAAACACAGAAACCGTCTTTGTTTAAACACGTCTCCAGATGAGGCAAAGAAGGACAGGGGGTACAGGTTAATTAACAAGCATTATTATAAAACAGTTTTGCCCAAGTAAAGAAACGAGATGTCCCTAGCTTACCGGCACAGGAGAGCGAGAATAAGGCACACCAACACACGGCGCAGCTCCTTCATCATCTTCCTACGGGGACGGACATCCTCGCTTTTCTTACTCTTGTCCTCGTTTTAATGGCAATGCAATACCGACTCCGCTACCCTCGGAAGCCTATTTGTTCGAATACCTGAACGGACACACAGGGGAGAGGGATAAATAGAAACGCCAGGCTGTAATATCTGTGTGAACTCTACCCCCCACCTGCCTACACTCCCTCCTCTCGGTCTCTCTTCAAGCTGCTCCTGCCTCTCGCGCTGCTACGGTTTATTCCCCCGGCCTGCATTCACGCCCCATCTCGTGACGCGACCGTTGGAGCTCCTCCCGCTCCGCCTGTCCTCGAGCTGAGTTGGAACTTCTGACGTGCGACGCGTCATCGAATTTTCTCTTGCACTCCCCCTTATTAATACTGTAATAAGCACAAGCACAGTTGTGCAACAGACTGCACGGAGAATTTCACGATTAAAGGAGAGTCAAGACCTCCTTCTTTCGACAGCTGTCTGGAGGTTTGCTAATATAAAGGTGTTTTTACATACTACCACTCCAAATTGCTTCACAAATCCTGCTTATGTATGTCAGAGTAATACTACAAATACAGAGGACAGGGATAGAGAACCGTTAACCGAGCATTAAATACATTTTGAAAATAATCTAGACCAAGGACAACAACCTACAAACTGAGAATTTCGATGCAAACATGAAAGCATTTTTCCATGTCTTCAGAATTTAAAAGATAGCTAAAATCAGCGTGTTCTTTCAGTACAATAGAGAAACGACATGGGTAGGAATGGAAGTTAGCAGTTACGTACTTTAGAAGAGAAGCGACACTTGTGTTAACAGGCTGAGGCTGGAAGCCAGGGAGAACGTCAGTTTTCTACACCACACACACAAAAAAACCTCAGTATATTATTTATATTGAGATAGCAACCATTTAAAACAACAAAATACATGTTTGGCGTTACAAAATTGGTCCTTGTAACTTTTAACAACGCCATCATGAAAGGCAGAGGTGCAGAAACATCTAGAAATCGTTTTTGTTTTGTCCAAAGAGAAAAACATCAGTTTACGCGAACTGGGATATGAAGTATTTCTGCCCCCCTGAACCACAGAAAAACTACTAGTCCCAGAAACTCCACCAGAAACTGGGAGACACGATTACTGACGGATTTTCCAGCCTTCAGAGAAAACAGTGCATTACAGATTTTCTTAACCTGATTAAATACATCATAATCAGTATTTTATAAATGTTAGGCTTGTTTTAGACTTTAAATCGATTTGAAACAGGCATTTAGAATAGCCCACCTCTGATCCTGTGCCGAGCTGTGATTGGTTGATAAGGGGTCCTTGAGAGAGCCTCCCCTCGCTGCGCCTCGCGCTCACTGGCTGGGCTGCCCGAGGAAGTTTCGCGAGTTGCGATTGTAAGTGCGTGATTTCTGTTGTATTGATCAGAAATACCGAGTGCTCTTATTTATTTTTTATATTTTTTTGCAGGATCTCACTCCAGTTCGTGTTTTGTCTCGGTGTGTTTAGTCCCCCGTGCAGCGTGTGTGGGGGTGTGGAGCAGGGATGGACGTGTTAGCGGTACTGGCTTTGCTGTCCTTGTGTGTGTCGATGCGGGTCCAGTTCGCCTGCGCCTTCTCCCAGTCCCTGGATAGCGACTTCACTTTCACCCTACCCGCCGGCCGCAAGGAGTGCTTTTACCAGACCATGAAGAAAGATGCCTCCCTTGAGATCGAGTACCAGGTAGCTAACGGGTACTTAAAATACAAGCGGTAATAAATGTGCTGATAGCAAGACGCTCATTATCGCAGGGATTAGTGCAGCTGCTAGTAGCGGCTGTTGCGAGCGGCGCCAATTTTGAACCTGAACAGTTTTCGTTCGAGCGATTAGATGGTTTCGTTTATTTCAGATGGTCTCCAGGATTCAAAACTATTGGCTAATGTTACCGACAAGGGGCATTTCGGCTACAGATTTCATTCCGTACGTACGGGCTGCACTGGGCAGCGGGATGTTGCTTTATTGCGTCTGCACGGAGACGTACTCCCCAGACAGCAGCCCAATGGCCAGGGCTTCTCCCGTTTCACCTTCCTGACAGTGCCGGCAGGCCCCGGAATGCGGTGTCTCTGTGCTCAAGTCATCTGCCGGAATTAGAAGCAGACTGCGTGTGTGTGTGTTCCCCTTTCCTAACCATTGTCGCCAGTGGGGAATTCTAATGTACCTGGAGTCAAAGATGTCCTGCTGTTTCGTGCAGCTGTATATATGCGGACCTGACGACGGCTGGATTCTTCTTCTGCTCGATTGTCTCTTCTCCTGTTGAGCACGATCTTGTCCGTCTTTAAGATGTGAGCCGTTTCTGTTTGCAGCCGCCCTGTAATGTAAAAATACTTTTCAGCGAAGAGAGCTCAATACTGTATAGAACAATAGCGACTGGGTGGGTGGAGATGGTAGTGTGAGGCGAGAACTGATCGTGAAACATCTCAGTCTCAGTCTGTGTGGCAGCGGGTTCTAACGGTTTGAGGTTTTAAATGGCTGGCACGAAGTCGTAGGCAGTGCTGTTCTGTGCTCAAATATTTGGGGTGGTTTCGTAATCGTTGGACTGCGCGTTTCCCAGCCAGATGAATCACCACGCCTGTCGTCAGAGCGCTCGCCCAGCTGTGCATGTCTCAGGATACACGCCCTCATCTCGCCTCCCTGCGCCACACTGCTTTTGTACCTTCGCTGGGCTGAATGATACTATGATGTTAGTGATCAGCTGAAATGGCGTGGTCGATGCCGCTTGTGAGAATGACCGGAGCTCGGGGAAAGCCGACTGCGATTCTCCCCCGCGCTCACGTGTGAGGGCTCACAGGCGTCCTCTCTCCTCCCCGGCTCTGCCCGGGGGCTCCAGGTGCTGGACGGGGCGGGGCTGGATGTCGACTTCTACCTGTCCTCGCCGGCGGGGAACGTGCTGGTGAGGGATCACAGGAAATCGGACGGCGTGCACACGTACGTACCCGCCGTCTCGAACCTGCCTCCTGGAGGAGCATGTTGTTTCCGTGCTGATCTCCACCTCTGCGTCCCTGCAGCCCAACCCGCCCATCCCTCCTACAGTTTTCTGTGAGATGGATCAAAAGTACGCCGTGGTGCATGTGTGGTTTTAAAGCCTTTGTTATTCCTTTACAGTAGAGGCGTCCAACCCTGGTCCAGGAGAGCCCCTGCCCCCCCATTCTTATTGGCAGATTTTAAATTATTTTTCTAAATAAGGGCCTGGAACTATTTAACTGTGATCAGTTAAGCGGGTGGTTGGTTTTGAAATCATTTGAAACAAAAATGAGAATTTCCTGAAGTCCTCAAGGACCAGTCTTCCCTTTCAGTGACACATTTTTTAACTGATCAGTTGCTTAAGCAAGGTGCTCCCAGGCATTAGGTGATGGTTCTAGGGTGATCTGTTAGAAGAACTGGGTTGCGGGTCTCCAGGAGGAGGGTTGGTGAGACTCCTGTGCAAGTGACCATTATAGGATTTCTGCAGAAAAATCATTCCAGGTTTTCTGCTGAATAAGGTCTCTTGAATTGTAAACTGCTGAGTTATATCAGCTGTTGCCCTGCTGCTCTTGCTGGGCTTGTTCGCACCCAGGTCCGCTTTTCCCTCTGCGCTGCCCGGCTTCCCTGGGCTCAGCTGTGCGCCTCTCTTGCAGGGTGGAGGCGGAGGATGGAGACTACATGTTCTGCTTCGACAACACGTTCAGCTCCGTGTCGGAGAAGATCGTCTTCTTCGAGCTGATCCTGGACAACATGGAGGCCGAGGAGGGGCCAGACCCGGAGGACTGGAAGGAGTACGTGCACGGGACAGACCTGCTGGACATGAAGCTGGAGGACATCATGGTACGTCTGCTCCCCTCGCCCCTCCTCCCCTGCCCCAGGAGTCAGGCCACTCCCAGCCTGGCCCCACTGAGCATGTGCCCCCCCAGTCTGGGCAGGGGCAGGGGCTGGGGGTGACTGGTCAGGGCGCTCTGTCCCCTGTGTTTATTTAGCAGAGAGCTCTGCACTGGAGCTGGGGTCACAGCGCCCTGGCCGCGAGCCAGCATTGAGCACAGGCAGCCAGCTGCCCCCCTCTGTTTCAGCACATGGGCGCAGGCTCTGTCCTCCTGGGTTCAAACAGATCCAAGCCTTCGCCCGGTTCCTGGTCACATGCCATCGCGCAGTCAGTGTAATAAACCTCAGCCTGGCGGCCGTCCGCTTGGTCAGAGGGGAACAGGGAGGGACGACGCTCGCAGCTTCGGGCCTGTCGTGATTGTGAGTGGCGTTCCACTGGTGGCTGCGGGTTCGTCGGATTCATTTCTCTTTAAATGAACTCTTTTGAAGTCCACATCTGTGACCTCTAGAAGGTCACAGCCTTCTTTTTCCCCCTCCTGCCCCTTCTCCTTCTTGCTTCCGATAGCAGGGCGTGGAGGGTGGGGAGCCGGGTTGAGGTCTGCACAGCTCAGGCCCTGGAGGAGCCGTTTGGAATTTATGCAAAGGGTGGCGGGAGGAGGAAACAGGCTGCACAGCCGCTCAATCACAGCTGCCACCCAGGCGCACGTGATCCTTGAGCCACTCGCGCAGGCTAGCAGGCAGACGGGCCGGGTGGCTCAGGTGGTGTCTTCTTCTTTGCAGCCTCACGCCGCCTCTCTCTCTCTCCACCCCTCCCCCCCAGGAAACGATCAACAGCGTGAAGGCACGGCTGGGCAAGAGCGTCCAGATCCAGACGCTGCTGCGGGCGTTCGAGGCGCGGGACCGCAACCTGCAGGAGAGCAACTATGAGCGCGTCAACCTGTGGTCCTGCACCAACCTGCTGGTCATGGTGCTGGTGTCCGGCGTCCAGGTCTACCTGCTGCGCAGCCTCTTCGACGACAAGAGGAGGAGCCGCACATAGCGTAGCCGGACGGGGGGGGGGGAGGACAGGCGGCCCAGCCAGGCCAGGCCCAGCCCGGCGGGCCGCTCACAGGGCTTGGGGGAGGGGGCCAGGCGGGCGGCAGGCTGCTCCTGGACACAACGCCGACTCCTCTACAGTCTGTCCCCACTCTTGGCTTTCTCTGCCCAGTGGTCTTCTTGTTTAATTCGACTGAAAAGACAGGTCAAGCTCAAGAGCGGAGCGCTACCGGAGCCCACGTGCTTCGTCATGGATTGGGTGAAGGCAGATCGCTGCTTCAGCACACGAACCTTACAATACCTCCAGCAAAAACCCGAACTGCGATTTCTTTTCATCAGGGCTCATTATCTCTGCTCCTGAGGGCTTTCTTTTTGTCTTGGAAGATGGTTGATGTTAAGAGGGACTGTTACATGTTGTGTCAAAGAGAGACTGGTCTGATCTAAATTTTTCTTCTAAAGATCAAACTGCATTTTCTGAAATTAGAAAAAAAAGAGCAGAAGCCATTTATGTGATGACTTATTATTATGACTAATTTCTGCTGAAACATTGTTTTACGTTTTTACATTGTTGTGCCTGTACACGTCTGCAGTGATTCTGGCTTACTCCTCATGTGCCCTGAGGGATTAGTGACATTGCTCACTTTATCCCCTTTACAAGCTGTGCTCAGTGCACAGCCCACGGCAGCCATGTGTACAGCTATGCAAACAATCTGAAATGAGGCTGCACGTCTTCAGATCCTGGCCACATGACTGAAGAGAGACACTGGGATGACGGAAAGGGCTTTCACATGATAGCAGTGTTATTGACGTCAACAAGAGGCTCCTGGCCAGAGCTGAAAAGGAGGTTTCACATTTGACTGAATAGTGCCAGGCTTCTTACTGTGAAACAGTCCTAGTCCCAGAGGGTGAGCCCTCATGAGCTTCTGTTCCACACAGTGCAGAGCCCCTGGGCCCCGACCTGCTGCAGAGACTTGGAGCCCCCGAGCCCCAAACTGATGAACCACAGACTCAGAACCCCTGAGTCCCAAACTAATGCACCATAGCACAGAGCCCCTGAGCCCCAAACTGCTGCCCCGACATGTAGATCCCCTGAAGCCTGACCTGCTGCCCTGAGACTCAGAGCCCCTGAACCCCGACCTGCTGCCCTGAGACTCCGAGCCCCTTAATCCAGGACTGCTGCACTGATACTCAGAGCCCCTGAACCCAGACCTGCTGCACTGAGACTCAGCCCCTGAACCCTGACCTGCCGCACCGAGACATGACAGATTCTGGGTTCTCCTCTTTTTCAAGTTAAATTTTCAACTGACCTCATTAAGCGTGTGTATATTTTTCCAGTTCACTTTTCTACATAGATTCCAAATTATTTAAATGTGTAAAGGAATAAGAAATAGACCTTCCTAAAACGAGCCAAGAGGAAGCTGCAGAGTGGCTCAGCTGGTAAAGAGACTTACCTTTGCGCCCTGATTCATGTGCTGCGGGTTCGAGCCTGGGTCATGTTACTAACCAGCTTGGAGAGGTGGCGCACAGTGACGTGTTAGAAGATGAAGGGGTCAGTGTGCTCGCCGCTGGCTCTGAGAGGGAGACGTCACTCTGCTCGCGTAGATAATGTGACATTGCAGTTGAAATTTGTGTCGCAGGGTGACCGGCTTTGGCAGTGCCTTCATACAGACAATAAATGACTGCTTGCAGCAGGAAACGGGGAAAAAGGCTCCTGTTTATTTGTGTGTGACCAGCTTCCACATTACTGCAGTTCCTGTCCACAGTGGTGCCCAGTAGACAGCGCCATCTTCTGGGAGTGAAGATTTCAGGAGATGCAGTCTGCAAGGCAAGACACCTACATGAACTCCACAATAGGACCTTCATAATGCAGGAAGATACTGAAAGTGTAAACGAGTTTAATGAAGGGTGGTAGGTGAGGATGATCAATCTGTGACGGTACTGTGTGCATTAATAGAGTATTTTGCATAAGACTGAGGTGCAGAATTGAGCCCATTGAGTTCACCTTGTTGGACAATCCTGAGGTCGCCCTCAGCTGTGGCTCTGAGAGTGGCTGAAGATCTCGGTGTAGCTTAAAAACTGGCGCTCTTTGGCCAGGCTCTTGAAAAGCCTAAAAGTGGTGACTGTCACCCCTTGAGCAATGCAATGGCCTGAATCACTAAATGGGACAGAGGAGAACACTATAATATATTCTTTCTAATAATTAGTTCACAGTTCACAGTGTGAACAATGAAGTCTTCCCGCCCTTTTGGACTGTATTATTTTGACATTTTCCTGAGGTGTGTGAATGGGAGGGAGTGTTTGTGCTGCTCTTAGTTACCCTACCAGCTGAGGGTGAGTCGTCTTCGTCACACTAGAGAGGGCGCCTGCCTGCCTGTCTGTCCTCAGCCCTGCACAGTTGGGCAGAAAAGCACAGAATCACAGCTCCTGTCTCGCACCTGTCAGAGGAAAACTGACCAGACAGCTAAATCTAGCGAGGTGTGAATGGCCTAGTCCCGACAGCCTTGGCTGAAGCCAGTTTCGTGAAGGTGAACAGAAATGTAGGATGGCCAGTGACCAGAGGCCCCAGCTCTGTCCAGGCTACCTGCGGGACTGTGGGTGCCGGGGTCCTGCGCTGACCGCACAAGTGTCCAGGGACGATACCTTGACACTGACCCACGGTTGGGCCACCGACGTCCGCCAGACACAGGGGCCTCAGCCTGGGGGAAGGACACCACAGTTAGCCAGCAGAACCAGAGCAGGGACTGATCGCACAGCCTCGGCCCCCCTGGCTGCCGCCGGCATGTCACCTGGCCTTGAGCAGCCGGCAGCTTGGCCTGGTCCTGTCTCTGGGGGGCGGCAGCGGACTCTCCTCCTGCCCCTGGACTCCGGCTCTCTGCCCCGCCCCGGGCTGTACGAGACCGGCCGCGCCGCCGCCGCCCTGGGGAGCAGCAGAGGGGTCAGGAACAACGACACGGAAGACCACCAACGGAGAAACGCGTACGGGTGTTAAAATCCGCAGACTATTCAGCTGAACGAGCTTGACGGGCCGACCGGCTCCTCTGGTCTGTGACCTTTTCTCTGCTCCGGCGGCGGCCGTTGCGGTTACAGGCCCGCAGCTGAAGGACGTGCCTAAGGCCTAGGGGATGAGTCGCGCCGGAGAGCGGCGGTACCGTTTGCGTCTGGAGGGTCCCTGGGTCTGGTGCCGGGATCCCGGAGGTGGGGGCGGCAGCTCTGAATGGCGCGGGTGCTGTCCCATGCGCATGGGCTCCCCACGACCCAGCCCTCCTCGTCACAGCACGGCGACTGGAAAGGAGACACGGGGACAGGACGCTGCTGCTGTCCCCCTGGGCTGTGGGCCAGCTCAGAGGTGCTGCACAGCGGGAATTTATCACAAGCGGACAACCTATTGCTTTGTTACAAGCGTCGACAGTCTCGCCTTTTCCAGTTCATTCCATCTGAACGGACCAATAACAGCTGTTTTCACCGACCATCCATTACAAGAAGCTCTAATCCGTGACCTGGAGTCCGTTTATTATTGACCAGCAGTGGCTGTCATTGTACTTTAAACCCACCAAGACTCTAAAAGAGCTTTTTTTTTCCCCTCAAAGGAAAAAAAAAGACTCCGTTTTCTGCAAAACACCCGAAATGAACGTGTCAGGTCGTGTGTACTCTTTACCTGGGCGCAGCATCCCTCCTGCAGGGCCGGGACGGGGGGGCGATATTCACCCGGGTTACCTGTGGCAGAGAGAGAGCCGCGCTGCTGAGAAACCGCTGGGCCTGGCGAGACCGCCCTGAGCGCGCCCACGGCTCCACAGACGGGCTGCCACGCTTCAGAGACAAGACCCCGACCCATACTATCAGACCCTCTTTGAAATGTTATTAATTATTCAGTTTAATACTTCTCTTCGGGTGACATGCCGTGAATACAGCATTAAAACACAGAGTATTTGAGCAGCTGTAAAGTTATAACCTGTTTAACACCTGCAAACTCCCTTTTGGACATCGATTCCCGACATTTTCTCGACCTGCAGGCTGCAGAGACAGCGTTCAGCCTCAAGCTTTCAGTAGAAAGACGCTAACAGTTTAGAGGAGCGGAAGATAATAATTACATTATTATTCCAGGTTAGATTAACAATTAGAACAGCCGATAACATAGATGACGTCTGATTCGCTTTTAGATAAAGCATAAGTGCTATCGTTTATTACTGGGCAGACCTGTTATCGAAACGCCGTTCTCCTCTTAATATAGACTCGAGTGTCCTCAATGGTGCTTTAACAGTTCCTCGACAGGGGGCGCTCTCGGCTACTGAAGACACTACGTAGATGCAGTTCGCTCTATAACACTCGTGAAATCAGTGGTAGCCTATCACTCACTGCTTCCTGTTTTCTACGTTTGTTTTGGGAGGACTTTTATTCTCCTAGTGAAATACATGCTAGGTACATAAGGAATTTATCAGAGAAATGGAAATGTTTTTTCATACGGCGTTGTGATAACAGGTAAGATCAGGGAGATTGAATTAAATACCGACATGTATTTAACATTGTTGTAGCCCGTACCGGCTGGTTCCTGTAGTCCATTTTCTACCCGCCTCATCTAGTTCGGGGTTGCGGGGTAACCGGAGCCTGTCCCAGCAAGCAACGGGTGCGAGGCAGGGTGCACCGCGTACGGGAAGCCAGTCCATCGCAGGACACGCACACGGTCACACCCGGGCCTATTAACCCCCCGGTAGGTCTTTGGACCAGGAGAGGAAACCGAAAGAAACTCACGCGAATACGGGGAGAACATACTAACTCCACTCAGACAGCACTGCAGGTCCAGAATTGAACCCTGGGCTCAGCGGTGCGAGGCGGCAGTGCTCATCACGGCGCTACCGTGCCGCCTTAGTTTAATTTAGTGCACTTAAGAGAGGAGCACATTCAGCACATGTGGCCCTTCTGGTAGTTAGCAACTAACTGACCCTGTATCTCACCCAGCTGTTTCTTGGAAGAAACTAGGATATCAGCTTCCACAACGTGGCTGGGCAGCTTGTTCCATACCCCCACAACCCTTTGGGTAGAGTCGTTTGTGTAGGGCAGGTCCTTCATTCCAGCTGAGCTTCATCACCTCACTGAGGCCTTAATTGAATTCATCAGCTGTTTGATTGTAACATTTGCAAGTGTTTTTTTTTCCAACTCAAGAGTTTGGGATTTGATTTCAACTAGGAAATGTAATGGTTAAAAGGCTGCCTCCTGAAGGTTTATAGTCTGAAAACAGTCACACAGGTCCAATTAATCATGTCATTCAGGCAATTAAAACATTCAACAGTGTGACTGACAGCTTGGCTGGAACAAAAACCAACGGGACTGTGGGTCTCCAGCACCAGGACTGGGATCCGCTGCAGCACGTGAACAGAGCTGACATGTGGGTCAGGAGAGGCGTGTTTCAGCAGTTATCGGCTGTGCTGTGCCGTTCGCACTGTCAGTAGCGCAGCGAGGTGTGTGATTCAGGTGTGCTGGTCATTGTCCGTGCCGTCAGTGTGACGAGTGTACCTGCCCGCCGCTCCTGCCTGGGTGTCTACAGCCAGTGTCAGTACAAGTACAAGTACAGTCTCAATGTCAGTGTCAGTGCAGGCTTGGTGCCAGTCCCAGTCCCAGTGTCAGTGTCAGTCCCAGTGTCAGTCTTAGTTTGAGTGCCAGTACAAGTGCAGTCTTGGTGCCAGTGTCGGTGTCAGTCCTAGTCTCAGTCCTAGTGCCAGTCCTAGTGCCAGTCTCAATGCCAGTGTCGGTGTCAGTCCTAGTCTCAGTCTGAGTGCCAGTCTTAGTGCCAGTCTCAATGTCAGTGCCAGTACAAGTGCCTGTCTCAATGTCAGTGTCGGTGTCAGTCCTAGTCTCA